AGAATATCAAAGGTCGTAGTACATAAGCTAATGTAAAAGCGATATAAAAGTACATTTTATCACCGTTCATGATAAGAATAGTAATACGAACTACGAGGTCAAGAAATATCTTCCAACAGTTTAGTGCATAGTGGTCTTTAAAAACGTTTTGCGAATTTAATAATATATCAAAGGATTATTTACACTGATTAGTATTTATCAGTTTTTAAGTTTTTGTACCGGCACATTTACGTGCCGTTATCAGAGACGGCAAATGCGATTAAAACATTCTGTTTGTAAGTAAATTATTGGGCACTAATAGTGATGGTTAAAAGATAATTATTCCTTTGACATTTTTAAATAGCTTACAAATGAAAATATGGTTGATTAATATATGTAGTTATGTTTATATAAATCAGGTGATTTACTTGGACAGGAACCCTAGTGAATGTATTTTGTAGATAATTAATTCTGTTATTAAAAATACTAATTATTTAAGCAATTAAGTCAGATATGAGCATTATTAACGGTGTCACATTTGAAATGCAAAGACTAAAACAACATGGTGCTTTTGGATATAATCCAAATCAAGCAAAGGAACAAGGGGAAATAATAAATTTTGTATGTTGCGCCGATGTCTATCTATGCAACACAATGTTGTATAGTACTTATACTATATTACACCTTTTTCTTAAAGAAATGATTGCATTCATAGCTCCCATTTGCAACCCTACTCATATTAGGAAATAATGTAGTAAGATGTTGACTTTCATTTTATATATTTTAAAATCTTAAATAAAAATATTAACTCAAATTGTTGTGGTAATTAAAGAATTATAGAGGTGAACAAATTTCAGGTTTTAATCAACTCCCAAAACCCCTAAGGTGGAGTTATCGTATAATTTATTTTTATAGTATAGCAGTTAACAGGTCTCACAAAATTTTTAAGAAGCAGTCTGCCACTAAAAGTTTTGTTTCTATGAAGTTGACAATATTAGGTATTTTAGCAGATTCAGTCAGTTCCAGACTTTTATTTTAACAAAACAGTTTGTTACTCAAGATTTTATAGTTAACTTTCCTAATTACAACTATTCAATTATTGACAGTAGTTACTAGACATTTAATACAAAAAGTTTATTACTCAGATATTATCATGGATCATCAAATGTATTTGTATCATCACTTGTATGGAGGTACTCATCAGATTATTAAATTGATGGGTTCTAATACAATTTTATAAAAATTTAATGAAGATCTGTATTGTACAGATCCCATCGGGAGCTAAAAAGGTATTTTGCTGCTGTCCTTAAATTAGTCAACTACACAAACATTAAATTTTGTAGCTTAGTTGGCTCATTTCTTACATTTTAGGCATTCACATTGTTTTAGGATGTATAAATAAATAAATTTTTTTTTTTTTTTTTATCTTTTTTAAAACTTAACTTTGATTTACAGTAATGATCTTGTTAGTAGACTATTTTATTTAATTATCATTGCTGTTATATTTTCATTTTGATCTAAACTGATTTAAATGAGATTTCTGAATAATTTTTTATTCACATCTTATAGCAAAATGCTATTGTAGCTATTACTATATAAAATTTATATTATAAATTAAAACTGTTCTTTTAATAATACTATTTGGCTTGAGTGATGTTTATGGAATGCAATTATATGTATTTATGAATACTGTATTAAATATATATAATTATAAATTTATATATACTTTAGGTAGTTTTATGAGAATACATTAAACAAGCCCATTATTAAGATTAAACATTATCAATAACTTATAAATGGAATATATACTTGGAACTTTGACCCAAAGTGATATTGAATACCTTATAGTAATGTTGAAATGGAGTCTGGTATGAGATACAGAAACCAAACATGTATTTTCGTGTCTCTATCACCTCTATGTAGCACACATAACATCACGATCACTAAATGACACGTAAATACTACCAAAAGGCACTCGAGTATGTGAAAATGGCTTCAAATTTCAAACCTCGAATCCGTTCATACGCCAATTGTATAAAAGATTGTAAACTATATAGAACGTGAGATAAACTTTTTAGATCGACGATTTCCCGTATGAATGCACTTTCCAACCGCTTTTACTATCACACGGCCCCTACTATACGCAGGTACTACAAACAGTATGAAAAATAGCTGATGATTGACGTACGTACTTTACGCACAGGGAGCGGTCCAAATGATATCCAAGATGATGCAAAAGAATAATCCTGGTGGTTGAATTTTATCATATAGCACAAATATTTAATGTTCAATATTAATTTAATTGTTCACGAGCCACAAATCACATAAAAAATTACAATACACGACAACGAAGCGAAACTTAGCGTAGTCCCTCCTCCCTTCTCTTCACTTTAAATTACCATAACGGATAGAGCGTGGAGCAAAGAGAAAAAGAGCTTGTATTACTGTAAGCCATAGACTGCACTAAGTGGTTCATAGCATGAAAGAGAAAGCATAATTATTCCATAGACTATATTTTGTAAAAAGTTACATAGAAATGTTGCTTTCCAGGGTAGCCATAGGTAACACTTTTCTTTTCCTGATTTAGATTTTTTTAAAGTATCACTCATGTATTCAGTGTTTTTTTAGGTTTTGAGACATTTTCTTGATTTTTGCGGAATTTATAGTAAAAAAAAAGAGTGTGCGTACTTATGTACACGCGTTAGAAGTTATACTTCTTTGGCGTATGGAAAAAAAATAACTAAAATGCAGTAGTGATTAACGATAAATATTAAAATTAATCAATAAAATTATTATTAGTAAATACTATCACCGTCGTATATGAAATTGATTTAATAAAAACACCAAAATAATATTTATTTATTCACACTGTTTAATTGTACTGTTACGAAACACGTGTTCAAAATATAAAAATACTAGAATATACAACTTGAACATAGTTATTATCGATTTTCATGTCACCTAGAACTGACTTAATTCTGTTAATTTTCTGTAACGGTGCGCGCGCATCGTAAAATTTCACTCTCATCAATTTTTCAAAACGCGCCTAAAGAAGTATAACTTCAAAAAATTGTTTCCATCTATTCCCATCAGTAGAACTTAAATTATATTATTGGAATTGTTTTTATTAATTAAAGTACAGTGTAAAGTTTATTAAAACTTAACTGACAAATAATAGAAAACTGCCCTTAGATCTAAAATCAGGTGATTTTTTTAGACTAAGATTTATGAAAATGTATTTGCATTGAAGAACGTTTTTTATCACCCATTTCTTACAAAATGTAAAAATTTGAGATATAATAATAATACATTTTCTAATAGTCCATTCTAAATTATTTCCGAGATTAGAACTAGAGCATTGGTTTATACCAATGCTCTAGTTCTTATTATGTTATTATCTCTTTTTCGTGCTTGGTCGTAATTGTTTTGTTTGGAAAAGAGAGAAGTAGATTGTAGAGTTGTTGACTGTCGTACTGTTACGTCAACCTGCAACCATTCAGTTCATCCCATCGGATGTGTAAACTGTAAATGCCAAATGGTGTATGTTGCTGTGGTTTACTGTGTATACTATACTTAATATTATGTATGTTGTGTTGTGACTTGTGTGTGCGTGGTGATTTGTGTTAAATGCTGCTAGAAAGAAAATAATCATTAAAAGAGTGATTTTTTCATTGAAAATCTTGCATAAATGTGAAGAAATACTATTATTTGTGTTATCAAGTGGAAGTGAATCCGTCAGGAGGCGGTAATCATGTTAGTTTATTCGCTATTTGTGGATTCTGGATCTCGTCTCGTCCATGTACCATAAACAAAAATGTCAGCGATCCCGATTTTTTGTTTCACGCTGCATACCTCTCGATAAACCATAATTAGATCACTTGATTGATATTAATTAAAATAAGACGCTATCTCTGAAGGTGGATTATTGTTGAAACAGCGTGCCCCTTGCAATAAATCGGCCATAATAAACGTGCGTTAATGTGCTTCGCGCCTGTCTACACCCGATCTATCTCATTGTTTATGTATGGAGAGTTAAAGCTGGAATTTTAATGGCATAATGCGGTTTAATTTAACTATAAAATAAAAATTTAGCATAAAAGGTCTAGTGTATTGGTTAGTCAAAAGCGTCGGGAACTTTTTAATAAGGTGATATTGTACATCGCCTCTATTTTTAATAATCTTGATTGTACGATGCAGTAAATGACGTTCTGAAGTGGCTCTCGGTTAATTTGTGGGATATGTGCCAATTATTGCGCCCGTGACGAAAGATCCTCGAAATTTTGTATGTATACAATTGTTATAAGTGCTGTTTACACACAATATTTAATAATTTCACCATACTGATTTTAAATTCTATTTTAAAAAGGTAGGTAAAATAATAGTTTTACTCATTCTAACAAATAAATATAGTTTTCTCCAGTATCCAAAATCCAAATACAACAAAACTCTAAAATAATTTATCTTTATTCAATTTTCCAATTCATAAATTATATATTTAGGTTTTGAACTAAAATCATGACATATACAAACCCAAATTTGAAAAGTGTAGAAGATGTAAAAAATCTAACTTCTCTCACACTTTGTAATAAGGCTTAAGTGCAATTATACAGCTATAATTTTTATATTAAAATAAACCCTGTTTTAATTGATAAGAGGATAATGATGATTCTGAACTATGATAACTTTACAATCATTAAATAGTACTCAATTAATTTGACAAATACTTAATTATGTAATAAATTTTGATGCCTGCATGATAAATAAACAGAAATGTGAATTTATATATCCATTTCATATATTTATATCTAAACTTTACTTTACCAGAAATATTAAGCATTTAATTACATAAATTGTAATATTGCTTTACAACTAAAAATAAACAAAATGGACAATGTTAATAATGAAAATTATACTTACAAAAATATGAAAATATAACTGTGAACAATTGTTGTGATACTTTGGTTTTTGAAACTAACAGTGTAATTTTCTAAACAGTCAAGTTGGCGAAGGCACGTAGGGGTATGATCAAGGAGAAGGAGAAAGGCGGAGGTGCCCGCCTGAAAGATGAGCCCAATGACCCTACAGAACCAGGTACTTAAATAGCATTTAATGGAATTTCCTAAATGTATAAGATAAAAAGGGTGTGTGTACTTATGTACGCGCATAAGTTATACTTCTTTGGCATTATTAAAAATAGTTTTTGATTGCATGCAAATAATTAATTACAATTAAATAATCAAAGACTGGAAAAGCAGTCATTATAGTCAATAAAGTTCAGTTTACATTTGAAAAATTAAATATTTATTATTATTCTCTTACATTAAGTGTAACATAAATTCTATTATTATTCGAATGTTGTTTTTATATTATGTCCAATGCCGCAGCATCTTCCGTGGGCAACTTCATTCTGTTAATTTTGTGTCACGGTGCGCGCGCATCGTAAAATTTCACTCACATCAATTTTTCATAATGCGCTTAAAGAAGTATAACTTCAAAAATTAAACTAAAAGGGGAAGTCAAATACAATCCTTTTGTTTTTTTAGCAAAATTTAGGACTATCAGGATAAACACAAAAAAATTGCATGCTATGATAGTAAGTTGATACTTTTACATTAATTAACAAAATCTACAAATGCTTTTAATTTGTGCCCCAGTTTAAAATTTCTAACTATCTTATACAGCAGTGACTTAAATTACCTAGTAACCAAACATGCCTGTAATAGGTCATTTCACTCTTCCATAGCTGTTTCTAATTATGAAGTTAGTTAGAGTTATCTTAGTATTGTCTTTTATTAACATAACTTTTACACATTTAAAGAAAATCAATACGGTAGAAAAGTATTTTCTTTAGAGTAATCTTATTAGTATTGTGTTTCACATTATATGTGTATATAATTGATTATATTATTTTTATCAATTGATTAGAATAGCATGTTTGTAGCATGTGAAATAAATAAAACCCTTAAAAAACAAAGGTTATTATTTCAGTTTACAAATCAGTTAAGCACTAAACAAATTTAAAAATCTATTAGGTTGCATTGGATCATTATAAACAGGTACCAAAGGAATGCATTAAATTCATTAGAGCATTTAATTAACTTCATGTACAAACAAACTTTTATGTTCATTTAATTATCTATACAAATAATATAGGTAAACATAGTAAATTATATGTTTAAAACAACTCACAAACACTTAGAGGTTTGTTAAAACAATTGTATATGTTAAGCAAAACAAATATGAATAAAATTATAGGTGATAGACAGTCATCAGTAAACCAAATAGCTATCCACTATATTTTTATACAACCTTTGAATAAGACCCCACCCAGAAAAGCTGGTTGGATTGATTTATACAGACATACTAAATAGGAAATTATGAGGAATTATTGTAATGCAAACTATAATGAACAATCATTACTAAGTCAATATGCAGGATGTAGTAAGCACACTGCCGGTCGAATTATATGACACTATAAAATAATATAATAAATATACTTTTAATGTTGTATTTGGGGAAATTATCAAGTATGTTTTATATAATATATTTTATTTAATAATATCATATACATATTATAATCGATCTTGAAACAGAAAATCTTTTATAAAAATTTTGGTTAATAAATCAAGATTCGAATCACTAGATCTAGAAGAATAGATTTAAGCTATTTTATTTTCAAAATCAGAATATTTGTATAAAGTAGGTGTAGACAGTAGAATATTTTAACAACAAATTCACGTCGATATTCTTCAAATAATTTACGAAATAAGAAAGATGAAAGTGTGATCTGCCACACTGCGGTATCAGAGAAACAATATGTGCATTACAACATGAATACAAATGTAAAAATTATTATTTGGAAATTATCATTGCATTTTTATTGATTATGTAGTGTATTTTTCTTTAATACCTTAAGTAATTCGCACAATACAAGTCTACTGTTTGTACTCTAGAAAAATAATCAGCAATAATCAGTACTTTTTAAATTGCCGAAATTTAATAAGAACTGCAGCTGTGTACGTCTTTTGTTTATTATATTGTCTTATTGTCTAGTTTGGGTTTACTTCGTCAAAGAAATTGTAAGAAGCATAGATAATAACAACTTGCAACGCAAATACATATATTTTTAATTTGACAACACTCAATAACAAAAAATAAACCCGTATAGAAGTTACACTTTAAATTAAACGTTTCGTTAGGGCACGGCTCACGACCGCCGTCAGCGTCATTACCGACACCAGCAGCCCTGAAGAAGGAACCTGATGACGGGCCGCACAGAGTGAAGATGGAACCACACAGCCAAGGTAGCGCGGAAGATGGTTCAGCCGATATGGGTGTTGATGGCATAAAGACGGAGATTGATGGCCTAATGGATAGCGATGGTAAGTGTCTTTATATGAATGAAACAGTTGTAACGTCATTGTATAATTATTATTTCACGGATATACGAAAGTCAATGTCTTATTTATTACTTCTATTAATTAAAAATACTTAGTATTGTGAAATTGATTTTTATTTAGAGTTGAGTATTTAAAAAATTATATTATTCAAATACTAAAACAGTAAGCATTAATTGTACAAACGGTGATCTTATATATATATATACTAGCTGACCGGGCAAACGTCGTTTTGCCATATATATCATTTATAATAAAAAAAATAGGGGTTGATCGTAGAGGGGTGAAAGTTAGGGGTTTGTATGTATTTTTTAATGCTGTATCATAAAAAAATAACAGAAAAAAATATCTAAAAATAAAAAAAAAATATTTAGGGGTGGACTACCCTTAACATTTAGGGGGATGAAAAATGGATGTTGTCCGATTCTCAGACATACCCAATATGCACACAAAATTTCATGAGAATCGGTCGAGCCGTTTTGGAGGAGTATGGCAACGAAAACTGTGACACGAGAATTTTATATCTATCTATCATATATAAAAGGAAAATGGTCTTCGTTTGAGGCTCCTTCACGCCTAAACCACTGATCGTATCGACATGAAACTACCACCATTCGATGCGAAATTTTTCCTAGATGGTTTATGGCTATTCCAACGTTTCTTCATTTTTTTATTGCTGTTTTACTTTTATGAAAATTTATCCCGCTAATAAAAACAAAGACAACAAAGACTTCACCGCGGAAACATTCGGGGAGGCTTCCTAGAACCTCAAAACGTCAACATCTGTTAAAAACTCGATTTTCGAAAATTTTAAATTTTCTTAGCGGGAAAGTAAAAAGAAGAATAATAAAAATATGAAAAAAAATAATAATGAAACATAAAATTTTATTTATTTCCTATTTTAATTCGCCCAGCAAAGCAAAGTATACTATAAATAGGTTTTTGAAATTACAACATTTAAGAACTATTATTTTTAAAGTTAGTTAAAAACGAATCTTTTAATAAAACACTATTTTGACCGGATTGAAGTTATGTATTATTATAAATTTACAACTATTTAACATAATTTTAAATTTATCCGACGTTTCGCGTGCTTTACAGCGTGCGTGGTCACAGTCACCGTGACATAACATGACATAACTTCAATCCGGTCAAAATAGTGTTTTATTAAATGAATAAAAGTTATGTTAATCAAAGACAACGAATCTTTTATTAACTAAACAGTACAAATGTAAAATTTCCTAGAATAATCCATATGCAGGTAAAATAAGTAATCTCTAATTGACCCTATAAAAAAAAACCTTACTCGTCTACCTGTGTCCGATTTCTTAACGTAGCTTATTTGTAAGATTGAAATAAGCAATTATAACTTTTATATACTTTGAATAAAGTTTAAATTCCAACATTGAGAAATACAGAACTACTTTACAGTTAGTTTACTTAGCTTGGTTTTACTGTAGTAAGATAATTAAGTACTTTGATTTAAAGTTGAGTTAAATACTTTATTAATTGTAATTAATTGTATAATAAAAATAATTCAATAAATAATTTTGGTTAAAGTCAGTCCGCCAAATTCGGCATTTATGCAAAACAAGCGTTTTCCGAGAAATGAACCGAGACCTTTCCGGTAAGTGTGCAAAAGATCACCTTTTTGTGACTCATGTTATATGTATACTATACTATTATATATTATATTATACTAAGCAATGTGCTAACTGTATAAAAAAACTGGTTTTAGTTCATTCGATATATTTAAATAGTGTCTCAGGCGTTTCCTATTTCATAACAAACATCGAGGAAATAAGGAAAGCCGTGATGAATGTTTCATAAAAAGGAAAACAACTTTAAAATAATTACATGTAAACTCGTTAAATATTTTTGAAGATATATATTTGTATATCATATAGGTGATCCAACAAAATCGCCACAGTGTGATTTGGGAGGTCCCGGATCGATGAAATCCGAGCGACTTTCCTCAGACTCCAATGACATCATTGACCCTCAGACGGGACTAAGAAGTAATGCGGGAAATATACAGGTATGACAATTACAGGTTTACGAAATTAAAGTGATATTCAAGTCATTTGCTTGGACTATACACGATGAAACGAAAAAAAATCTAATTAAAACTACAAATCAATAATAAATTACTATGAAATTTTAATAGGAACCAGTGCTGCTGTATAATGTAACAATTTAGAATCGAACTTTTTATGAATCACCAGGTAATCTGTTTATAATGTTTTGTATTTCTATTGGTATTTTGGTATCTGCGAAACAGCAGAACGTATATTCATGCAGTTGAAAAAAAGAGCGTAGGCAATTCTTAAAAGGAAAGCAACGCACTCGCGAGCCCTCTGGTGTCGAGAGTGTCCATGGGCGGCGGTATCACTTAACATCAGATCAGTCTCCTGCCCGTTTGCACCCTGTTCTATAAAAAAAATATGTTCACAAGCGAATGTAATTCAACGATTTACACAAATATTAGGTTTACCAAAATGGTGTTTCAGATAGACATAAGATATAATTATAATTATTTTACATTAAGGTCAAAAATATCATTTAAGTTTCGATCTCAGATATATTAAATAATCCTTGCAGGATGGCAACCAAAATTGCCGAAATCCAAATGGTCCGGATGGCATGGGGTCCTGTCGCATGGGTGGGTCTGGGCCAATGGGTCCAGGGGTGTCGATGGGTCCCATGTCGAGTGAAGCGCAAACTCTACCCTCAAATGTCATTAGCAAACAGTCAGGGAGTATGGAGGTAAAAATTATGTGTTAATGTATTATGTTATTCATTACTTATGACAGGACCTGATCGGTGAAGAAATCATTTCATAGACATAGACATAACATTGATTAGTAACGAAATACATACACAGAAACACACAAAATAATAATAATAAAAAAAATAACAAAAAGTGTGGAAAAAAAGAAAAAAAAGATCTTTTTAGATAGATGTTTTCAACACATTTTAAAGCTTCATCCTAGACAAATTATTTCCTTCTTTAGTATTCCAACAGCTTATTGAAACTCAGCAAAAACGGTAAAAAGACATCGGAAATACATAAAAAAAACTTTAAACATATTTTAATCTCTAATAGGAAATCTTATTAATATATTTTTTTTCCCAGCAGCAAAGTCAAATATTCGTCTTTTCTACGCTACTCGCCAACAAAGCGGCTGAAGCCGTTATTTCTGGTCAGAACCACTCCATCATTGCATACCATTGCGCTCAACCCAACACAAAGAAGTACCTAGAGGTAAAAGTTTAACAACTAAACAATGTCATAATATTGGTCACCTTTGCTCAGTAGTTAGACAAAGATTTATGTTAGGGATTATGTAAAGTCCATAGAAACCTGTCCATAAAAATTTGTTTATTGCAGAAAATTTTGTAGAAACCAATTTATATTAATATATATTATATATATACAAAATCATCTGTTGCCCGTCGTTCCCATAATACATTACTTATATAATATATATTTAATACATTACTTTTCAAACCTTGAACAAGAGGCCAATTAAGTTTTTGTTCTGAACTTCGAAAACTGCTGACCTTCAATGTGTAGAATTTAGTTAAATATTTCACTCTAACATTTCAGAAACATCCACTCAAAATTGGGCAGTTCAACAAACAGAATCCAGCACAATGGTTGAACAACTTGGCCATGGCTAAGCGAGGTGGATTGAGGGGCGGACCAAACATGATGGGTCCTAACCAAATGGGACATATGATGGGACCCATGGGGCCTAACATGGGCCCAATGGGACACAGCATGGGTCACATGGGGCCCAACATGATGGGGCCTAACAGGATGGGAGGGCCTAACCAGATGATGATGATGAAGGGACAAATGGGCCAAATGGGTCAAATGGGCATGGATGGGTTTCCAGGGGGCACCCCGTCCTGCGGTGTCATGGACGGCCTCGGTGCTGATGGTGAAATGCCCTGGGACACCGTGAGTAATTCAATGTTTTGTGTTCTTATGCAAGTAACTGTTATTTTAATTCTGGTTCATGGTCATAAACATCAAGTTCAACATCAGAGTATAATCTCTTATTACAGAAAAACCCCTCCGTAATGTCAAATGGCATGTCGAATGGGCCGGCGCAATTACCGCCGTGCTCTGAAGCTGGCTCATCTGACAATGGCGGAGACAATATCTCCTGTCAATCAGGCCCTAAAGGTGACTTCACTATTATTTACACTTAACACTTTTAGGAGTATTTTTTTAGGAATCTCATAGAACTAAAACAAAAATTCTGTCAATGTTTTAATGATGGACTACTGGAATCTATAATATAGACTTCAAGCAATAATAACAGTTTAAAAATAATAACCAAATTAAAATACTTTATTAATAGTTAAATTTTTTATTTTGAGTTTGGTTTCTTGATAAATTTCACTGTTATAAATGAAATTTATAATTTTTACAAAAAACTTAAACGGCAATGAATCATAATTCCATGTTTAGCTTCAGTCTCATCCGTAGGTGTAAAAATACCTGATGAAAACCTCACGCCGCAGCAGCGCGCGCTCATCGCGAGGAACAATTGGCCACGATTAGAAAAATGCAACAGATATTATTCCCTGAAAGTGGGTCAAATCCCAACCAATCAGGGGATCCCCAGCAAAACTCAGAAATCAACCCGCCTAACTCATCAGCCAATATGAACATGTCTTTTCCACCCATGTCCCAACACGGTCCGATGGTCTCCGGACCGAACGGACCCATGGTGTCCATGCCCAGTGGCATGAACTCGGGCCCAAGCTGTACCATGTCGGGTCCTATGGGACCTAATGGTCCCATGGGAGGGCCGATGGGTCCGGGACCAATGGGGCCTAACGGGCCGATGGGCGGACCTATGGGTGGAATGGGATCGGGTATGGGCATGGGTGGCCACGGTTCGATGGGGCCTAATGGTATGATGGGACCTAACGGGCCTATGATGTCTGCGATGGGGCCTAATGGACCGATGGGGCCTATGGGTCCTTGTGGGATGAAGGGAATACGAGCGTGTGGAGACATGAAGTCTGCGATGTGTAATGATATGCACATGGGCAGAGGGTGTGGCGGGCCTATGGGGGTAAGTTTCTTTTAACAGGCATTTACAATGACTAGAAACCACTTTTAAAGGTTTGGCAACGCATTTGAGTATAATATATTAATTTTTTGCTTTAAATGATGTCAATAAATTGTTTTATGAGACGGATCCTTAATACCTTTGAAAAGTAATTGTTTTTGTATATCTTCATCGGAATATATATTATCTAGAAGTTTTCTTTATATAGTAATTTAGTTTTTTTTTTATTCTTTGAGTTAAATATTTTATTTTATTTTTTGAATAAATTTTATTTTATTATTTGTTAAAGCGTTGTTGCTCTATTACTAAACTTAGGTTAATGTTTTAGTAATTTAACTTCATATTATTAATTCCAGCGTATGCCTAACCCCATGGGAGGTATGGGAGGACCCAAGCCATGTATGATGGGGGGACCTCACATGGGACCTAGAATGATGCCTGGGCCTAATTTATCAGCTATGAATGGTAAGTTAAAAATATACAAAACCTTTATGCACTCAAAATTATGACTTTCTCGAGGTTGCTTAAAAGGATTTTAACTATAAATTACACTTGTATTATAACATAATGAAATAAATATTTAATACTACTAATATAATAACTTTTATCATTACCATGTAACTTTGAAGATTATGAATATTATCTTCTTATATATAAAATTCTCGTGTCACACTGTTAGTTACACCTCCGAAACGGCTCGACCGATTTTTGTCAAATTATATATGCATATTCAGTAGGTCTGAGAATCGGCTGCTATCTATTTTTCATACCCCTAAGTGATAAGGGTTATTCACCCCTAACATTTTTTTAATGTACGAAATTTTAATTGTAATTTTTTTTACAATACATACAACCCTAAATTTTCACCCCTCTACGATTAACCCCATTTTTTTATTATAGTAGATAGTTATTTTTATTGAACTAAAAAATGTTTCCTAGAAATGATATTGGAACATGGCAAAACAAAGTTTGCCGGGTCAGCTAGTATTTCTATACCTTTTTAAAGAGCAAAAAGTTATTTCATTGACTTATTATCCGCAGGTGGGATGATGATGGAAAGTGGCATGATGGGAGGAATGGTGCCTCACGGTGATTGCGGACCAGACCATCATGGAATGTGTGATGACTACGGACGGGGGAGAAATGTTAGTATTTCAATTCACACAATTTATTTTTGTATATAATAAATTCAACTTATTGATAACTCATACAGTTGTTGATATCAGCTGTGGTATTAAATTAATGATTAACATAAAAAAGAAGGTAATTAATAGCTGTCAGGATCTTCGAACTCATTTAGTTGTCTATGGGAGCGGTCAAGTATTACGTAACGAATTTTAGGAGGAGGGGGGCTTTATAAAAAGTTACAACGCGGGGCGGGGATTGAATTACGCGTTATTGTTAATATTATTTTCGACTTTCCAGCACTTTATACCACATAATGGTAACTTTTAGGTATAAAGAGTCACTGGGAGGTCACGAAACGTTTTACTATTGGATACAGAAAAACGTTACGGTGCGTTACATGGGGGGGAGGGTCAATAACCTCCAGAAATTTCGTGACGTAATACTTGATCGCATACATAAGAGATATTAAAAATTTCCTTACCTCAGATATATTATAATTGTATTCGTTTTTACGACAAACCCAAGCGAAATTAGAGAATTATCACTAAGTAAATTCAAAGTAAATTACTCAATAAAGTTTTTTATAAATTTGACGAATATTTAAATGATCCTACTCTTGGGATTGATTTGCTCTAGTTCAAACAATTTGTATGACTCAAAACTTAGCGATTAAAAAGAGTGGCGGAGAGTTTTTTGCCAGTTCTTCTTGCGCTTTTGACTTGCGAAGTGGTAGTAAATGTAAATTTAGAATCAATTTATCTCTTTTGTACTTGTTTATGAAGTTATTTAGAGTTTGAGTTATCTTTTTACCATCCGTATCACCTCGACGTCCGTCGTTCCACAACGGAGCGTTTTCTAAGGCAGTTTTTGCCGCGCACCACCACTATGTGGAACCAGCTGCCCACAGAAGTATTTCCGAACCAATTCGATTTAGGGTCCTTCAAGAAAAGAGCGTACCAATTCTTGAAAGGCCGGCAACGCACTTGCGAGCCTTCTGGCATTGTGAGTGTCCATGGGCGGCGGTATCACTTAACATCAGGTGAACCTCCTGCTCGTTTGCCTCCTATTACATAAAAAAAAAGGGTGCGTGTACTTATGTACGCGCGTAAGAAGTTATACTTATTCGGCATTATTAAAAATAGTTTGGCTTTGTTCCACCTCCAGTTTTTGATGTTTCACAGCGATAAGATGACAACTCTTTTTTGTATTCAATTTAGTGCACTTACACTGATTCATCAATTGTTTTTTGTCTCTTGTCCTTATATTTGCTAGAAAAAAATTACATGTTTTGATTAAACAATGTGGTAATTTTTTTAATCAAAACATTACTCGATAATAATAATACAAACTGATAGTTAACCTCAATTGTAATGAAGCACTTAGGAAGGTTGATGAGCACAGTTTTTCACAAATATTAATTAGTATTGGTTTAAATATTCAATTTAAATACTTCTGATTATATATAATTCAAAAAGCATTGCTAAATTTCTTTGAAAAAATAATTAAAACTCCTTTATTTGTTTAAAAGGTAAATGACAAATGTCATTATGGTCATTCAAAATTTTGATACGAACTTCACGATATTCTATTTCTTTTCTTGTAGATTGTCTTATCCTATTCGCTCGCGCAGCTATAATCACACTCCTAATTTGTGTCAAGGTGGGCGCATCGTAAAATTTCACTCTCAAAATTTTCATAAGCAAAAAATATTTTTCGTGATACTTGTTTTTTTTGACATAGGCAAGTTTTTAATTAATTAGCCTTTTGTGCCTGACCCAGCCAATTTGATAAGGAATTCCGCATTTGTCACAATGTTTCCCTTCACTGTAGCAATTGTTTTGATGTGAAAAAAAAAACAATTATTGTCAAAGTTCATTGACTCATAGCCGGACTTTAATCCTTCGAGCTCAGGGTGAGAGTTGTAAGCTGATGTCAACACAGCTCTTAAAATGATATACTTTTTCTAAAAAAGTACGGATAAAAATTACCCTATATTCTTGCAGTTTTTTACTCGGTTGGAAATAATGTTAATGCTTTTAATGGGTACTCCGTTGTAACTGTTATGACCTATGTATTTTCAGATGGGTGGCGATGGGCCAGGGCAACACAAGAATGCTCTTCGAAGCCCCAAAAGCCCAGGACACGATATTGACTGGCAGAAACTACAGCATCAGTTCTTTGATGACAAGAATATGGACACCGAACTCAGTAAGTTTACAGCTTTCTAGAAATTAATATGCGCTTAATCGGATGGTAACGAATGTTTAGGTATGCAGGGCTTCATGGATATTTTTGGAACAAGACGGCAAATTAAAATTAAATTATTTATAACTATAGAAATTCTCAATCTGTTAGCTTTCCGTCTGAAGTTGGCGACTTTTTAGACAGTGCTCTAAATACAAGTACAAAAAATGCAATAAGTCATACTTAGCCAAAGGCTGATTATTAGGGGTTGGGGGGGTAAAGTAGGCACCAAGGATGGAAAAAATATAAGTTGTATTATAGTGAAATTTTCAATGTTATTTATTAATAAAACAGTAACTACCAAATAGGAGGCAATAAAACTATATTTTGACTTAATAATTATTGTAAATATTTTTGGAAACAGAAGGTCGATTGACTATAAAAAATGCAGATTAAATTAATTTAAATATGGGAATTAAAATAAATAGTTACTTAATAGATAATTCCTTACATTATTTTCATGTCAATAAATAACGTATGTATACAGGTACACAAGTGAAGTCCCCATGTTCGGAGAGAGGTGGATGCCTTCCTCCGCCGCCCTATGGCGCTTCGCCTCTTCATAGATCTGCCTCGGTACCTATAGGTAAGGGATACTAACATTATTATTTTTTAGGAAATTATTCAATACAAGGTAATATAAAAACTAACTTTTGTTTTTGTTCAAATGTTATCTAAATAGATTTTCTTTAAAAGTAATTTTCATTCAAATTTTTTTTTGATGTATGCAGAACAAGATAGTCTAAATTATTATTTTTTTTACAATATCAGTCCCTACGAACCATATACGCATGAATAAATTTCGTTTTGGATAGTTTTTAAAATACTAGGTACTTAAAAATTAGGCTAAATAATATTTTTGATATAGCAACTCAATCCCCGTCACAAGGCACGCCTACGTCTGAAGCGCCGAGAGCCGGATCAGCTCTAAGCAGCCCCGCCCATTGCAAGCCACAACACAAACACGATCCACCAGGTAACCGACTAAAATATAGCTGTCCTTTTCGCACTCACCATTCGAACGTATACATATCCCTTTCATACAGAGTTCGCGGGCGATCGCGTATTCACATACGCCAAAAGTTTATAAGTTTGGCGCATATATGCATGGTTTTTCTAGATTTTTACAATTAGTTTAATTATTGCACTGTACTGCTGTCAAAGTGCAAAAATAAAACATTTAAAAACTATTAATTTAATAGGATTTTAGTTGATTTTGAAGTGTGAGCCATAGAAGTAGAATGCATGTTTTTTTAATGTTAGACATTTTCCCCAACCACGATATTATTGGAATGCTTATTTTTTACATCGCTCCGACTTTTCGTTTTTTTTTCTGTAGTTGTAATGCGAATTTTTTGTTTTCCCCCTCCCCTCCGCAAACGCTTGACGCTTGAATCCCAACGTGTGATATTGGGACCGAACATTGGCGAATGTTGGGCCAATAGAGATATTGGAGAAATTGGACGATGGTGTGTTTGTGCGTACGCTGCAATGTCTGGCCGCGCAGCGTCAGAAGAACCAACAGAGCAAGGAGCCAAGTTTGATGCCTGTCCCATCTCCGCAACAAATATCCTATCTCAACCAATTCGAAGGTAACATTGTTTGTCGCTGTAACCCGACGCTTGGGGGTTACTTAACGCTTGCTTTTTTAACTATCATTTTATGTTTTCATTGGTGGTGGTTGGTGAAAATGTGCTAACAATTTCATACTCTATGGCTAATTCGTTTAGACATCTTTATGTACCGTTGGGTCATCTTGCGTATTGTGCTTACTTTGGCGGCTCTTGTACTGTGATTATCTACTCTACTTTTGCAGCAATTGCGGTCAATTAGGTCCCTGATATTAGTGAGACAATTCTTAATAATATTTTTTATAGGCCAAGAGTTGACGATACAGAAACAGCCGAACACTTCGTTAAAGGACAACGGGCCACCTTCGAATAGCGGAGGTCAGACACCGCAGTCGAGTTCAAATCAAAAATCACCTGCTGGGTATGTAACAGGATTTAGTACTTATTTTTCACGTACGAACTGTCTATATTTTTTTAGATGTTTGAGGTCTATGGTATACATATCATAGTATATTTTTAGGTCTGGGCCTCAGATTTCTGAATCTGTTTCATTTGGTAATAGGCAAATAGGTGATCAACCTCCTGTGCTTGATACACGTCGTCGACTTTTTCCTTACGATGATTTCCTTCACTGTTCGAGGGAATTTTAAATGCACACATAGAAAGAAAGTCCATTGGTGCACAGCCGGGGATCGAATCTACGACCTCAGGGATGAGAGTTGCATCCTGAAACCACTTAGCTAACACTGATATTTGGTCTCCGATTATCATATTTGTTTGTATATTATGTTGGTGTCATGTTCCTTGCGCTATATACTAAAGGATTCTGTCAACATTATTTCAATTTAGCATTCCAATACACATTTATTTAAAAAGTAATATAAATAGTATATCATATTTTCAAAATACATAGAAAATGCCTCAGCGATGTCCCGTGACAAACTATATCTTAAAAATTATATTAACTGTTTATACAGTATGATGCCGGGAACGCCAGAGCCGCATTCATCGCATTCGGAGCAACGAGCAGGTCGATTCTCACTCGAACAGAGCCCCAACTTTAATAATCCACAGACACCCAACGCAGGAAACAAGTGTACAGGTATATATGTGTTTATATAAGGGATATGCTATGTTTTATTTTTGTTAAAAATTTATTAATGAATTAAAAGTCATAAATGTAAGTCATTTTTTAAATTTGGTAACTAGGACGGAAATTTAAACTTTGAAAAAAAATTCTAATAAAGAAATATATCTACAAGTTTTATATAGTTATAATTTAAGTAAAAGTTTATTATTGTATAAATAAATTAGTAATTATAGTTTTAGGATATTTAAATTTTACGTTTTTGCATATAATACAATTGCTTGAAAAAACAAAATAAACTGTTAGTAATGTAATTTAAAAAAAGTGCGTGCGTACAAAGTACGCATGTCAGAAGTGATACTTCTTTGTAAATTAATTATTACTAAGGTAAAAGCCCCTATAGATGATCATGTACCAGTATATGATCACTCCATGTATTTGTATATCTATATTCACACTGTTTACACACTATATACGTCCAATCATAATATAAATAAATAAAAAATCGGCGTTAACTGCTCAAGACGTTATGCGACAGAATTGCCATCTAAAGTTCTAATATGTAACTACTAAACTTTATTTTCTCTCTCCCACCTCTCGATCCATGGCACTGTGCCTGATGCGACGTTCGCTCTATCTCACTCTCACTCTCGATCTTTCTCACTTGCTTGCTCCCTACTCGCTCCATGGCAATTTGCTTCATCCTACGTTCGTCCTTTCTCACTTTCTCTCAATCGGTCTCTCCCTTTTCTTCGACAAAAACACTGCACATCTTAGTGATGCTAATATTATTATTATTGAGTTTCATTCGTAAAAAAATTACCCTCATGCGCCGAAGAAGATTCACTTCAAAAATTATTGACTGAAGGTTGAATATTTTTTAACAGATGAGAAGTCAAGACCGAGTCCGTCGTCAAATAGGTCTAATCAAGAAAGTGCCTCGAAAACCCCACAACGCGATTCGTCAGGATTGAACCAGGGACCGTATGCTGTATCTTGTGCGAAAAGCAGTTGTGCCGTCACCACTATGTCACAAGCACACCCCGACGATTCTATGTCCTCCAATACAGAAGTAAGGGTTATTTAATAATTCATAATTAATTACAGCTAAATTCTGATTTTTTATTCCGTAGAATTCTGACATTTCATAAGTGTTGCTACTAAAAAAGTTCTCCACCGAAAAAGGGACAAATTTGACCCATTTGATGGCAATAAAAAAAATGCTACATATTTTTTGTTTTACCTTCAAAAAGGTAAATCAAAAATTAACTTTCTCAAGTGACCTAATACAAATAATAACAAATATTTCAATATCACGAACAATACATCGAATTAACTTTAATTACTTTATTTTATTCTTTAGCTGGCATCACTGCCTACTAATTCCAGGTTTAGTAAACCTTTAAAAAAAAATGTTATCTTTACTTGTGCGTTTTTTCCTGTTTGTGATGAAAAGGGACGTAATTACCACTCGCCGTTAAACCACTAATGTAGAGCACGCACTTAATAAAATGGATACATTAATTAACAATAAAATGTATGCATAGACTCAGATGTTCAGACTCGTATTGAAATTGAAAAATGTGCCTGGCCAAAAAGGTTTGCCATCACTGACATGTCAAAAAATGATAGCTGTCAGAATTCTACGGAATTAAAAATCAGAGTATAAGTTTAACAATCTTAAAACCATTCCTTATTTGTTTACTAAGTTGTTGTACAACCAAAATATTTGGCATGTTTCCCTTCTTATTTAAGAAAAACTATATGTGAAGATTTTTAATTGGTTTACAATGTTATATATGTCACCGTAAAATTGTAAACACCGTTAGATTGTAATCTATCTCGCGAGATTATGAACTGTCGAAAGATTGTGAACTCAACGTACTGCTTACAATTTAACGTATTATTATTCGGTAGATTGTAATCTATCGAAGTGAAACCGTCAGCAGTACGTTGAGTTTACACTTATACGGTGACATATATACATGCATTTCTGTATTATGCTGTAAATCTTCTGAATAAATAAATTAATAAAGTCTTAGAAGAAGAATTACTGACATAATAAAAGATGACTAATTGACATAATTCTTTAACAATTCCTAACCCGTATTTGTCTCGTTGTTTCAGACGACGTTATCAGGCGGCCCGAACAGTACGAGTTTACCTGGGCCTTTTCCAGGGCCCTGTAGTATGAATAGGCCTGACAACATTCCCATCAATCCCAACCAGGGCCCCAATGGACCCATGGGCCCCGCAACGTCCTCCTTTGACCCGATCTCTTCTTTAGCACAAATGTCACAACAGTTAACGAATACGGTCGGGGGTGGGCCTGGCTCGTCAGGGCCAATGGGGCCCAACGGGTCAGGGATGGGACCCTTTGGATCGGGTCCCCATCATATGCAACATCACCATTCAATGCATCCACATGGACACCCGCACATGATGATGAATGATTTAGGTAAGTGGTGATTATTTTTGTATTCTTAAAGTAACTTATTTAAAATATATAAAGTAAATTTAATGTTTTTTACATATTGATTTTTCAAGTGCTTTATATATTTAATATATTTTATGGAGTTTTTTATGGATTATAATTTAATAACACATCTACAACTTTCAGGTTGCCATATGGAAGGAATGGGTGGGCCAGGTTTAGGTGGTCCCATGGAAAGTATGATGGGGGGCGGCGACTTTCCCTCAGACATGAATCTTAGTCCAAAAATGGGAGGTGGTCCCATGGGTGGACCGATGGGGCCCATGGGCCCTGATGCCTCGATGTTAGGACCACGTATGAGTGGCGCAGGGAAAATGCCACCGTTTAATGGAGCAAATGTTCAAGTGAAAGCGAGCGCACCTAACACAATTCAATACTTGCCGACGAGGCCCCAAATGCCCTGCAACACTGGTCCCAGGGGCCCTCCCAGTTTAGACTTCTTACAAAGAGTCACAAATCCTATGCAAATGGACAGCAGTAAAGGCGTGCAATATTTCCCTGGAGCGAGAGCAATGGACATGGAGGGTGGCATGCGGGGGGTCATGAGAGCGCCCGGAGGAATGCTGAGAATGCCCCACTACCCGGCCGGTTTTAATTCACCCCCTAAAATGGCAGGGGACCCCTTCGGCGGGCCGGGCCCTAATCCGATGTGTGGCCCCAATTTCAGAGGAGTGAAGGGTGGCATGGGTCCCGGGAACGTGAGAATGGGAGCGGCGCAGCCGTTGCCCCCCTCGATGGGAGGCCCCAATCCCGGGTTTAAGGGCCAGGGATTCGCGGTGCCCTCGACGGCCGACCCGAACTACGCGGCGCAGTTCCACAACTTCCAGCAGCAGCTGTACGCCACGGGCAGTAGGGCAGCGCAGCCGCATCAGGGCTACCCCCCTTACCAGCCGTCCAAGTGATGACTACTGGTTCCCAGTGTCGGTCTACTGGCTATGTGAATGTGATATGGACACGGCCCGTAAAGACGGACTCGGCTTCGTGAGTCCCCGCGTACGCGGCCCGTACGTCAGACTGAACGAGTGCGAACGTACTTAATCGATTATACACCAGTGAATTATATTTTCGTTAGCGTTTTTGTGAGATTTTGTATATCGGATACGAGATTTTCTATTGCGTCTAGCTTATTTTGAACGGTTCGTTTTAGGTTCGTGACTGAATGGTTTTGATAGATTTGTACAAATTGTACAAATGTTACGTGTAGTATACATAATTTAAAAGTACACTTAGTATATTTTTGCAATGGCAATAATAATTTTTATATGCAAACGCCAGAATTTCAGTGTATCGGTTCCTTTACTTAGCTATTTTATACGATTCCTATGCACACAGATATCTAGTCAATTTTGAAATTATTGCCGACCCTGCGTTATGTTTGTGTAACAATTGAGTCCACGGTTTGGTCACTTACGACACGCGAGTACATAATTTATATGTAACAATATTTTGTCCATTTTAGTCGTAGTTATTTTTTAGGGAAATTGGTTTATATTCTATTGTTTATGGCTCTCCGGCCAGTAGCTCATGAGACTTAGCTGTTAATGAACTTATTCCTTAATTTTGATCTGAAAGCAATGTTTTTCTGTCTTCCATGCCAGTAGTATTTGAATTAAATTAATTATTTCCTGAACAACATTTAGTCATACACTTTCGAGTACTTAAAAATTCTGATGCCATATTAATTGCCACGTTCGATTTTCGTGATAATTTTTGTTCTATATTTATTGCCTCGAGCGACATTTCTTAAAGCGGATATTTAAAGCTTCATAGTCGCTGTGAAGTTGTCGGTCTAACCTGTTATGGGAAATACTATTCGATCTTACGGCTACATTCAAATTGGTTAAGATATTTATGGCAAACTGTTAAATTTTGTAGAGGTTGTTACAATAGTGTAGGAAGTGCATTGTGGATGTCACAGTGGCCTTTAATGAACAATGCCTTTTATTAAGTGTTTTAACCCCAAGTGAAAAATACGCTCAACATATGGAAGATTGAGGTGAATAGTTAAATTACACTGAAATTAATCCCGTTTCATCTTAAGGGTAGATACAAATACTTCAGATGCAATGTTTCTTTATTGAAAAATTATCTGTTTAATCTATAATAATTTAATTGTCATGGTATTAAAATTTAAATAATTAAAACAGCATCTTTTATAATTATTCTTTAGTCTCTGGGTTAATGTTAAAAATAATTTTCTATCTACCCTAAGAATGAGTTGTAGATAATTTTCCCAGTCGCGATGATGTAGCATAATCAATGTGTTTTGTAAATTGGCTCACCGAATGAGATAAATCTGAGATTACGAAGGGCTGTGTGAGAGCACAAGTCCATAAGGAAACACCCGCTAGAAAGTAGATAGTCTTAATTTAAATGTAATTAATTATATTATAAGGTAAAGAATGGTTCTTGTTTTAGGGTAAGTGAAGAGCAATGATATAGTTTGTGTAATATTAAATAAGAAATGAAATTAAGATGCAAACTATTGGTTGTGATTCTGACACAATTTGTTAAGTTGTTCGTAGATTTGTCACACAGATTATAAAATGTGAAATCTTATTATTTCTCTTGATAAGGCCCCTTTTTTATTTTTTTTAAACGTTTTTTATCGTTTGTACATCACTAACAATAATTGTACAGAGTACTTGACTTAATTTAAGGCAATAAATGTATTTATTTTATAACTTGTGATGTAAGAATTTATTCTTAATTATTATAAAAAATATATATAATATGCTTGTAAAATCATGTTTTATTTTTATTCCTTTTAATGTAAAAAAACTAATGCTATGTGAAGGCAGAGATTGAACCCCTTTTATTTGGTTATAGAATCGATTTAACTTAGTATTGATATAAATCACTTTGTATGAATGATTATTTAGTAAAACATTACTAATAAATCGTTTGGTATTACCAAGTGAAAGGCGAAATCTTAGCTATAAAATACATTTACAAGACACTTCAACGTTTAGATTCACAACACGAAAGACCACAAGCCCATGAACAAAAAATGCCTGTGCAAATTACCAATCTTAATTTTGCTTATAAGGCTGTTAATATATCTAAAATATCTAAAATTACTATGACATTCTAAAATACTTTGAGATGTTTTATGTAAAAAAACTTAAAATCGGACTGTCACATGTTAGCAATGGGGAAATTTCATGGTATAATGAACGGTTTGTTAGGTATAGACTTATTTAAAATAAAAAATCCAAAATTACTGCTCTTACAATGAATGGTTCCTCATCTGCAAATTTTTCATTTTAATTCAAGACTTACAGTGCGAATTAGGTCTTTCAAATTAATTTACGAGTTTGTCATTACATTTAGATAACATAAATTTAAATTACAGACATTTCTACCCAAATACTTTGACATTTTTATCTAGGGACCGGCGAGCCTAAAATCGCGTCTGCACCCTACCCCTTAGCACATGTGAAAAACCTCTGGCAATGAAAAAGTACGGCAGGTAGACTATTATTTAACAACGGAAAAATTAAAAATTATGCTTCTAAATATTCAATAGTTAATATTTCTGTAATTAAATTTTTAATCTTAATTTCAAGATTTACCAAGTTCGAATTGTGTAAGATCTGAGCATAATGTACGGCAATTTTAGTTTTTTTACATATTTTACTAACATAATACGTTGTAAATTACAGACATTCATTATAATAGTAAATAAAATTTTATAAAAAATTAAAATTCCGATCTGGCACATTGCAAATGCTGAAAATGTCTGAGCAATATTTCAAAAATATTAGTTATTTTATATTAAAAATATAAATAAACAAAAATACTCTTCAAATGCAATGCTTCATTTTACTCCAGATTATTTTTACAGCTTATTCAAGACTTCGACAACGTTTGATGTCTGCCTTAAGTTCATTTTTAGTTTTTCTTATATTTAAACTAACATAAGGTATTAAAATTACAGCATACATTCTACAAATACGCTTTAAAAGGAAAATATTTTTATACAAAAAAACTTAAAATCGCGTCTGGCCCATAGTTAGCAATGGAAAAATGTACTGGCAATACAAAAAGTATGTCAGGTAGACTTATTTACAAAACGAAAATTTAGAATTACGCTTATTAAAATGCAATGCTTCATATACAGCAATACTTTTTAATTTTAATTCAAGACAACAATCGAATTTATGTCTGGCAAATCATTAGTCTTATATTTAAATAACACTAATATTTATGATGCCAATTACAGACATTGCTAAAATAATTTAATTTTCTAAAGTAAAGACTCGTAGGGATCGCGTCTAGGCACGAATACGATAGCTAATGTGATTAATGTCTGGCAATAAAAAATATATGTCAGGTTGACTTATTTAAAAAGACATGTTACTTAAGAAAGTTATTAGTTTTGGCCAAATGTTTCGATTGGCATCATCAAAGTAGCGGGTGCTTTTTTACATTTTAATTCAAGACTTAGACATCGCAGTTAATGTGGCAAATTCATTTTTAAAAATTCTTTGAATTTAGAATTAACATATTATTAAAAATACATACATCTTCTTTTAAAAATACCCTATTTCGATAAAGTTTTTCATATCCCAAAACTTTAAACGCGTCTGGCACGTAGTGGTAGCGACTGTCGAAAAGTGTAGGCAATTAGTATTTATTGTAGACTTGTCTAAAAGTATTAATAACTCCAAAATTACGCTTACTGTAAAAGTGCAATGACTTCATTCATGCAATACTTTTCATTTTAATTCAAGACTTAACAAAAATCTACGTAATGTCTGGCAAATGTTTCATTTTTAGTTTTTCTTAAGATCATTTAAATATATGTTGATACATATTAAAATCATCACACTATAATACTAATTAGAAATTTTTACTATAAAAAAACTTAAAATCGCGTCTGGCACATAGTTAGCAATGTACAAATTTCTGGCAATAAAAAAGTACGTCAGGTAGACTTATTTAAAAACGAAAAATTAAAAATGCCTACGGTAATAAAGACCTATAATACTCCTGCAACTGTCGTCGGAATCAAAAAATTTGCACCGACTTCCGGGACCATTACATTTGTACGGCACTAGGTTGTTCGACACTTATTTTTAATGCATCTATACACTTACAACAAAGCCGTACATTGCTCATACTCTAAATTTCCCGAAAGTACACAGAAGGAAGACCATATCACAAAATCAGCTGACCTCAAATTCTTTCTTTTCAAACGTTGACGGCCTACGTACTATATTAATAATAAATCGTTTGGTAAGACCGATAGTAAAGCCGCTTAGGTAATTCACGATAAAATGGGTCATTTACAAAAATTTTTTGTACATGGGATTCACAACACGAAAGAAAATCCTAATAAAAAAAAGTTATTTGGTGTCATTTTTCTAATAAACTAAATTATTCTAATAATTCATTGACAAATTTTACCTAAAACAATGCAAAACTACCGAATCTGGAAACACACAAACCATAGTTTACAGAGCTGACATCTTAGTAGATTGTCAAACATGCACCACAGAGTATTTAAACCGTACTACAATAATAGAGATAAATAATTTATACCGCAAATATATATTTAGTGAAAACGTAACTTTTACTTTTATATCTCAACGTAAAAGAATTATCATATAAAATAAAAATAATAATTTTATTACGATTGACGAAAGCGGAAAATTACTCATTCTATAACCAAATTAAAAGAATAGTATTTGTCTATGGAATCACAGAACGGAATCTTCTAAAAGATTAGGCCATTTCATAAAACAAATGTATAGTAACTCGCAGAAAATAATATATTCGGGGCAGTTATATTTATTTCAGCTTCGCTATTTTCTTTAAATTGAATCGTGAACCGTATAATAGGTCCATTCGAAAGGATTCATCTGCGACATTAGCGGAAGGGTTAGCAGTCTTATTC